TTCTGCATCATACACAGTGTTGAGGATTTTCAGGACCAACAAAATTATCTTTTATGATTTCAATTCCATTTGCTTAGATATATTGGCAAGATAAAACTAAGGCCTTTTAAGATTTAACTCATGGATCTTTGCTGAATATAGATCTTTATTACCTTCCCTTGTTTCCTTGTCTCTAAATCACCACTATAGGTACAATATTATCTTTGCTTCCCCCTGAAGATCCTGAAAAAGTTGCAAAGATAGACTTGGCCAGTTCCCATGTATTTCACCTGAGTCACAGTCTCCACTTTGTTGACAATTCTTGGGCAGGAAGATATGAGGCAGCTGTCTCGTTGAAGCAAGTTGCTGCCAATTTCCTCCAGCTGTTGTAGGTATTGGAGTACAGGATTGATTTCCTCTAACTGCTGGCTTGCAGTATCAATCTCTGCCTCAGACTTTGGTGGTTTTTGGTATAAGACAGTAAATTCTTCAGGATGTTGTAGGTATCGGAGCACAGGGCTAATCTCCTCAGGGTCATGTCCATAATGGAGGAAGGGGCTAGCCATCTCTGGTGTCTGCTGGTACTCAAGTAAGGGGTTAATTTCCTCAAGCCCCTTCTGACCCTGAAACAAGCCACTGGTCTTCTTAGGCTCATACAGATGCCTGGCCAGGTTTACAAAACCTCTGGCTGGGAAAAGCACCGTTATGATTATAAATGAGCTATATACATGCCAGGCATGTCCCAGAGTTGCCAACCAGATGTGGCTCCAAATCAGTTGCCAGAGGTGGCCAAGGAGAGCCCCACATGCCTGCCACATGTGGCCTGGACTGGCAGCAAGAGCACAGCAAAGCTCACTGTTGTGACCTGGGCCTAAAAACCAAGAGGCTTTGTGTAGGTCATAGAGCATCAGCACCTTTCTTTGTGTGTAACTGCCTGGCTGGGAGGGGTTACTTTTTTCTCTGAGATGCACCAAGTTAAGCCCTCCTCACAAACATGTATCTCACCTCTGCTGCCATGGTCTCAACTGAGGTGCCAGTGGAGTTCTCATGAATCAAGCAGGTCCTTGCCAAGTCTAGGGAGACAAAGAAATGGAACTATATGTAATAACCAAGGATGGTTGCTAAGAAACACATTCCCCTCTGTGAGCTAGAGTTGCTATGGGGACTCAAGTAAACAGAGTGCCCCTCTGAGAGAGATGTTCAGTAGCTGAAGTTTGCCTATCAAAAGTGTTGGAGCTTTGGTTGTCCGTTTACTATCATAATACAAGAATGATTATTTAAGAATAGTGTTTTGAATATCAAACTTCATACAAATATATCTTTCAGGCAGGGAATGTTTCACTTGCATAGTGTTGAGGAGAACTCAACTCAGTGACTACACAGACATAATTTTTGACAGCAAGTGGCTTTCTGCTTTATTCAGCATGTTTCTTTTTATCTCCTGGGATTGGCTATGGTGACAGTTTTCAAATATTTGAAAGGATTTTCACAAAGACCCTTTTTTAAAAAGACATGTATCCATCTTGTAAAACACAAGCACTAATAAAAGCAAAAACAAGAAAAAGATAAAACCAAGAGCACCAAGCTTCTGATCCACTATCCCATACAATCCTTGGACTCCAACCTTACCCTATCCCAGTGCCTGAGGGAAAAAACTAGCTGCCTGGCTTTGCAGTAGGCTAGAAGGGTAAATCTGCCAGATCTCAGGGAGAAGGGTATCTAGTTAGACACTTAGGCTGTTGACAATAAACTCAGGGAAATGGTGGGCTCTCCTCACTGGAAGTGTGCAACTGGAGGCTAGAAAGCCAGAATTTGCTGGAGATTCATTCATTTGGACTCCTGTGCTAAATAGGGGAGCTTATCAGTGGCCTGAATAGCTCTTTTGAAAGAACTCTAAGCATAGACACATGCATATGTATACTGTATGTGTAGATTGTGCAAGGTGTCATGGTTCCGATAGATGAGACCAATTAAAACAGAACTCCGAGGCTTGAGTTTTCCTCTAAGAACATGTTTATTGGTTACAAAGTATTGGCACGGTCAAAAGTGAAATGAAGACTAAAGTTCCCTCTAAAAGCAACAGTAAAGAAAGTCAAAATTCCCACCCAATAACCTGTGCAATCAACTACGTTTCCCAATAGAACAGTTTGGCGGGCTTTCTGACATTAGGCTCAATCCTCCAGTCAAGGGAACAGAAACGACCTTGGTTCCCACGGGACAGAGAATTGTTTAGGCTGGCATAAAATGTCTCATTCCTCCTCCCCCCAATCTTCTGGCAACCGAAAATGAGAAAGATGGCTTCAGTCAGGTTCGTTGCAGGTTTGACAAAAGGCTTAATGAGAAACAACAGATTTCCACTTAACTGTCTCAATTTGTGGGTCTCTTGGATTTTTAGCTTCTGGTAGCTGTGGCCAAGAGGGCCTTTGAATAATTCCATCTTGTGAACCAATTGCTTCTGTGGATCAGGAGGCCCTACAAACAAGTTATTCATTCCACCTGGACTATTACAATCCAGTCTACATGGGATTGCCCTTGAAGACCATCCAAAAGCCACAGTTAATTCAGAATGCATGGCACAGGTTGTCATGAAAAAATTAAGCACATATAAATGTACAATACCATTACTTTGTGAGCTGCACTGTCTTAAGAGGGTCTTGGATATTATTCATGGTGCTGATTGCCATCTATAGAGCCCTTCATGGCACAGGGCTGGTTTATTTGCAAAATAATCTATTTTTGATTTTTTTTTTCTGATTACATGAGATCCAATAGGGTAGACATGTTTTGGATCCCTTCTATGAAACTACCACTTGGTCGGACAAGGGGCAAGCCTTCTTCTATCATGGTATTTGGAATAGCATACCCCCAAGATTCAGATAACCAATTTTATTGGCTTTCCAAAGACCTTGAAACTTGGTTCTATCCCCTTGCATTGGACCGGGATGTTGCATAAGCCACTCTTGCAATGAATGTCGTTTGATCTCAATTATACTAATTTTTGTTGTTTTTATCTTATTTGTAATTATTCTCTATTTTAACACTTTATTGTAAGTATAAGAATAGAAGGCATATAAATAAATAAATAAATAAATAAATAACCAAATGAGCAAAATTGGTACATGTAGTACAGCTTTATGCAAGGCAGGGGGCATAACTCCATTTTTTCTCTTCAGCAGGTCACTGAGATGTGGTTGAATATGAGGAAAAAAGTGAACAGCTGTATGTTATATATATTGTAAATCACAGGTCCCCAACATTTTGGGCACCAGGGACCGGTTCCTTGGAGAGAGGTTTTTCCACGGACTGGAAGCGGCATGATTTTGTGTGCTACCTGCATCCTGTGGATGAGGCTTTGCTTGTTTGTGCAGACCGGCTGCTGGCATGCCCTGGACCGGTACTGGTCCACGGACCGGGGGTTGGAGACTCCTGCTGTAAATGATGAAAAATTGGAGGGAGAAGATGAATTTGTGTATCTTGACAGAATGTTTATTATACATGGGGAAATGGCTGGAGAACTTTTGAGATATGTAAGTGCTGGTTGAAAGGGAGATATGGTATGTGGTTTCTTACAAGGGATTAATGTCTAAGGAAACCCCAATGGTTGAAGATAAGAATATGCATCTGAAAATTGGTTATATGTGAAAAAACAGATTTATCTCTTAATGTCACTTCCAAGATGAGTGACAATGTATTTGGATTTTATACAACTCAAAATTCTGGTGGAACAGGAAAAGGAAAGAGAAAATTATTTAAAAACTGATATACCTAAAGGTAGCTTTCTTATCACATTCATGGACCATGTAAACCAACGAGAAAATTGGGATTGTCAAATATGACAATTCCATAGCAAACTGAAGTAGCCAGCTCTGCAGGTCTTCTTCCAGGATGCTCCACTGCATACACACAAAGTTTGCCTTTACCCTTTTTCCCAGTTAGTCAGCAATCTGTCCCCATAATAAATCTTAATCTAACCCTGTACACTGTTGCTGCTCATTAGACTTTTCCTATTAGTATATATAATTTTAAAACTCTTTTGAGTTTCATCAGGAATGTGAAAAGTACTATTTTGGTTGCAAATAATTCATTCCAAATATTGAAAATAGAAGGAATGCTGAATATATGAGAATAAAGGTGGCTTTGATTTATAAATATTAACATTCACATTTTAATGTCTGATAGCTTGATACAGAATTCTTGCATTGTATATACACATGGTAGAATCATCAGTGAACTGGTTTTCCTGGGTTTCATACATTTGAAGATTGAATATAGCTACTTACATAGTAAAAAGGTACATATCTGGAGCCTGACCTCATCACAATTATTTAGTAGTAAGGCACAATGATTTATAAAATAACTTCTGTGCCATAGTGCATGGACAACTACCAGTATCTTAACCTATAACATGCAAAGCAACCTGGATATCATCTTTAAAGCCTAAATGATAGAGCCTAAAATGAGTCAACCATCATAAATCTCTGTCTGAATGTGTCTCTCAGAAGAAGATTCTTTGTACCCTACCACTGTTGGAAATTTGGTGTGTGAATTCACAGGAAACAACCTTCTTTGAAGCAGTACCAAGGTTACTTGGAACTGGAATCCATTTTCATGAAATCTGTTGGTCCTTTCCCTAGTAATACTTTAGCCCATTAAAATGTTTTGTTTCAGTGAGTTATGGTCTTGATTGAGTTTTATATGCAGTCTCTAATACTATTAAAACATAACATTGTTGTTCTACTTATGTCAACATAAGGTTCCAGTTAGTTTTTAGTTTTTGCTAGCTTTCCACAACTTAGCAACTTCCAGATATGACTAACTCCTATCATTGACCACTATCATGCTGTTAAATGGATAATCTAGGGACAGTAAGAATTGTAATCTACATGTATTACAGTTCAAGGGCAGCATGTTATAGTTATAATGGAAAGTCATGATATTAATATTAATACTTATAATAACAGTGGATAGTTTCTCTTCCTTTATTAGCTGTGGACAATAAAAAAGGACACAGAATTGAAAAAGGTACTTGACCCGAGATTCAATTTTATTTAATTACCAGTTTGCAAAAACAAGCAGCAACCATGGATTAGAAAATGAGAAAATTATAGAAGAATAGGAATCTATTTTCCTATGTTTTCATCATGCTTAGAAAGTATTATGAACTATGCTTCACAGAAAATTGAGTTATTATGCCTTATGGCGATTCCATTCAGACATTTTATACTCAGGAGGGGCACGACGAAACCACTCTGACCAGGATCCATCATAGATGGCCACATCTGGTTTACCACAGAGATATGCTGCCAAGGCAATATGGCAGGCTGTAATCCCCTTGCGACATGTGGCAATCAATGGCTCTGAAAGGTCCACTTTCTTCTCCTGGAACATGCTCTGGATTTCTTCTTGGGGTTTCTCAAATCCTTCCTCAGTCAAGAAGTTGAAGAAAGGCATATTTATGGTGCCTGGAATGTGACCTGGTTCTATCCCTGGAATAAGAGAAAGAATAATCACTCAACCAAGTCATAAAAAGTACCTCCTTTAACTATTCTGGTCAAATTCAGTTCAATTTTATTACAACTCTAAGTGTAGATTCAAACAAAATATTGAATAAAATAAATATTATACCCTTCTATATACACGTATACATGCATAAGGAAAAAAACAATAAATATACTAGAGTCTAAAATAATTAAGAACAGGGTTACTAAAATAAATTCAAATAAAATAGTATTATAAGAAGTTCTAATCCTAAATAATGGTATGGTATATAAGCACATAACTGGAGTACACATGGTAGCACAAAACTGGGATTGTGGTCAAATAATTTGAAATTATCAATTATTTCTAATACAAATAAGTTGAATAAAAAGTAAGAAATAATGTTGGTTATATGGGTGATAGTTAAATGTAAAATGAAACAGCTTTATAAATGTCTGTTTCTAATAAATCACAACTCCAGAATTTACTGCATTTAAATATAGAGCAAGATAATTGCAGATTTTTGGGGAAAAATCACTATCTACCTGACCATTTTATTTATCCCTGGTGTAACAGTACTATTAGAGTATGGAAAGAAGACAAATTGTTTTATTGGAAAAGGAAGACAATTGCTGAAACCAGAACTTTGTTTAATTGGACTTATGGATAGCCAATTAGAGGAGACTCACAAAAGATTGATTTTTTTATATGGTAATTGCAGCGAAATTATTAGACACACAAAGATGGATACTTCTGAAATTCCCACAATGGTGAAACGGCTTGTAAAGATTATTGAATTGGAGGAAATGGAAAAATTGACCTGTTTGATGAGGGGAGATTTGAGCTAAATGATGAACTTGCATAAATTTCTTGTGGAAACATATCTCAATTGATCTCCTGCCATTCCAGATGGACATTTTCATCTCATTAGATTCTGAATTTGTCTCTCTGTGCCTTATAGGAACTGACTCAAGACTCATTATTTTTCTTAGATATCTCAGCATTACAGAGCTAAAAATATCCAACTGAGAATATTTGTTTATTTTAGCTTCTCCTTTTAAAATATTTTATAAATGCTTATATACCATTGCTCTTTGAAGCAAATAAACAAACCGGAATTTAAAGAATAACCTTCTTAATGAATTGCCTCCTTGTTGGATGGATTTTTGTGTAGTTTTGTACTGAGTGACTAGATCTCATTTTTTTCTCTGTTTTGAATTGTGTTTTTATCTTATTCTTTGCTGTATTGTGAGCTGCCCAGATATTTGGAGTTGGGCGGTGCCTAAACAGAATAATAAAAAAAATGCTGATTCCTCTTTAATCCAGCTAGCCAGGGTAAATATCAGAGGATATGGCAGCTGTAGTCAGGGTCCTGATGAAGATGTATTATACTATGTCACCACACGAGTGATGTAGCTAGATCATGGATGTCAAACTTGCTGTGTCACGTGACGTGTCACGACGTATCGCGACTTTTTCGCATTGCCGGAGCTGTGATGGGCGCGGCCTCCGTATGATGCAATCGGCCCACGAGCCGGCACTTTGACACCCCTGAACTAGATAGATCCAAAAGACTAAACCTTAGTGTTTTTTCTTCTTATCATCAGATAACTCACATCAAGTAACGTGTGATTATTATGTTTCTTTGTTTCCCATAAAATCTTAAAATCCCATCAGAGAACTAATCTGAAGAAAGAAGAATTTCAGTTTGGAAATATAGGTAATTCTTAACTTATGACAATTGAGCCCAAAATTTCTGTTGTTAAGCAAGACATTTGTTAAGTGAGTTTTGCCCTGTTTAACAACCTTTCTTGACACAGATGTTAAGTGAATCATTTTAGTTGTTAAGTTAGCAATATGGTTGCTAAGTGAATCTGGCTTCCCCATTGACTTTGCTTGTTAGAAGGTCGTAAAAGATGATCACATGAACCTGGGACACTGCAACTGCCATAAATATGAGTCAGTTGCCAAGCATCTGAATTTTGATCGTACAACCATGGGGACGCTGCAATGGTCGTAAATGTGAAAAATGATCATAAGTCATTTTTTTCAGTGCTGTTGTAACTTCGGATGGTCACTAAATAAACTGTTGTAACTCGAGGACTATCCCTAGTGACAAGTATTTGCATACATACTTTTAGGCAAATCTCTCGATTTTAATGGTCTGAATGCTATGGGAAAGAAAGCATTAATTTCAATTTACAAATATGGCAACTTGCAGCCACCTCTCTGCATTTATTGTAAGAATGGCCATAAGGGAAAATAACAATTTTCCAATAATTTGAGATGCAGGAAATCAAAAAGATTATACAACGGAATAATAAGCTATGGCTCTTTTAAGCTGACTTCTTGGAAAAGCTTCCACAAACAGTTTTAAAACGTCCTTCTGCTATTGTGCTCTTTCTATTGGATCTTCCAGGAATACAACAAACTAATCCACTCAGATAAGTGCTATGCAAAGCTTATTGAATTCTTAGCTATTTCACAAGAACCCTCAAGGGCAATTCCTGCCTAACCACAATATCTTGTTGTACTCCTATCAGGCAGGTGAATAACAATCCTGTCAGAGCTATTTTATAGAATGAGGTGAAATTCCTTTCCGCAAGTTTTAAGGTAATGCAACTCTGAAGGTTCAGTGTCAGCCACTTTTGTGCGTCAGCCACTTGTCTTGCCCTAGAAACCACCGTTGCCAGACTGAGGTTCCCTGGAAAAATCTCAAACTAGAAAGAACATTGCGAAGGATATCATATTTGACATCAGGTTTGCTTCAGCCCAACCATTCTGTAATGATTTTGACTCCATGCCTTAGAGCAGCGGGCTCCAACCTTTTGGGCACCAGGGACCAGTTCCGTGAAGAGAGGTTTTTCTGTGGACCAGAGGGGGTGTGGTTTCATGTGCTGCCTGCATCCCGTGGATGGGCTTTGCCTGTTTGCATGGCCCAGTTTCTGTAATGCTGTGAACCGGTGCCAGTCCACAGACTGGGGGTTGGGGACCCCTTCCTTAGAGGCCATTGCTTTCCAGAGAAATTTGCTGTTTTGGGGATTGGTTTAATTGTGTAATGTTTGCAAAATGATCTTGTGCCTGTATCACAATCTTCTGATATTGGTGTATCCTTCCCAAACTCTGTCTGGACCCTCTTAATGTCTGCATTTAGGGATCCAGCCACCCATTTTTCCTATCTAGTTTTTACTTAACAATAAGTTAAGTATGAGTCCCTTGATCCTAGATCCTGAAACAAGGATAATAGAACAACAATACCGAAATAAGGCATAGGAGCTATTAAGATGTAATACAATCTGCACTCCTCCCCATTTCCTTACAGAAAAATACATTGAAAAAGCAGTCCAATGGATGAAAAAGCAATCAATCTGTGAGATTTTTTATGCTGACAGATCCTGGACTTGCTGGATGTGGTGACCTGAAAAATCATTAACTTGGAGTTGATCAATCAGGGTTTTGCTCCAGAAGGCTGTAATTCTTCTCTGACACATGCACGTGGACATATCTTTCACCAATTGCCATGGCTGTGGCTCTTGCCCTTTGTCCAGGGGCTCAAAGATTTTAGCTCAACATTCTCTTACACATTATTGGGGTAGAGAATGTAATAAAGTGAAAAATGTCTTGGATTTTTTTGCGCAATTGTTGGGAGGATTGATTTTTAGACAAAGACTAGTCAGAGTCCATTTACTCTAAAAAAATATAAAATTTTGGAATGAGCAACAGACATATCAAGTTACTGGAGATCTGTTTTGAACAGGGTCCTGAGTTTCTGGGGCAGGGTGTTTGGAAAACTGGGACACCAACAAGTGTTGATAGCAGACCCTGCCAGTATGGAATCCCAAACAAACAAACAAACATAAATGGATCCTCTGTGTGTGTGCTTGTGTGTGTAGGTATATTTCTTACCACATAAGAAAAAGGAAAAGGCCAGGAAAATAGTAAAAGTTCTCTAATGGAAAAATTCTTAGATCACTCTATTTTTCTACTCAGGAGTAGTATATCTACATGTATCAGTTTTGGAGACCTATGGATTTCTTCTTAGGCACTGTAGTATTAAACTGTTATGAGAGTGTATTTAGAAAGTGTTCCACTTTGTTCAGTGGAGGTTGTTCACAAATAAATAAACTTAAAGTCTGCCAGAGGGATGTAAAGACTAAAATATCATTAGCAGGTAAAGAATATGGGTCTTTACCAATTATCTCAGAGTACATTCCTACCTTCCTTTCCTGGCTCAGGTTCTGTTCCTCGGAATCGTCCTTCAGATCTGGCATCCACTACCTGAAACCGCTTGGATTCCATGTTCTCCACCATGTCTTCATAGGTCTTCAGAAGAGACCTGTTAAGAGTAGCTTTAAAGGCAGATGGCTCTGGTCGGGTGATCTCTGATGTCACTGGGTGACTCTCCTTCAGCCAGTTTTTGAAGCCCCCATTCAGCACTGAAACAGTTCGATGCCCAAAGACTCGGAACATCCACCATGCGCGTGGTGCATAGAAGGTGCCCAGGTTGTCTCCATCATACACAACTACATGTGTATCATTCCCAATGCCCAAGTGGCCAACATAATCAGCAAAGTGTTTCTCACTGGGCAGCATAAGCTCATAAGGCGATGACTTGTCTTTGCATTCTTCAATATCAAAAAAAGAAGCTCCAGGCACGTGCTGTTCTTGGAATTCTTTCTGGGCATTTCTTGTTCCAGGTTCATACCAGGAAGCATCCAGCACCCGCAACTCAGGGCCAATCTTTTTGGCTCGGACAGCTTCTGCCAGCCATTTAGTGGAGACCAAACCTCTGTACAAAGCTTGCTGCACCATGTTAAGGAAAGCTTTCTTGATGGGTGAACTCAAAAGAGAAAAATGGTATGTACAGAAAAGGGAGGTACTCTGTCCAGGCTCCAATGTCCAATCAACTAAGAAAGGGCGGAGAAAAGAAACCCTAGCCAATTCATTTCTATTCAAGTCTGCACTTTGGACTGGCACAGGCATATCCACAATCAGCTGCAAAATCCCTCCCTCCCTCTAGTACTTGATGAAAAACTAAAGTCATTGTTCAGAGAAAACTTCCAGGGCTTTTTGTATTAATTTCCCTCCTGTTCTTGCACAAGAACTAGAGGGCGAGAACATATCAGCCAGCTTTTCAGGATCTGCTGTAAAAAGACAAGAAATGCATTAGTGTTCATAGTCAGTGACGGTGCAAAAGTAAACTGCCTGGGTCGGAAGTGGCGCAAAGGGCAAACCTGAAAGAGGAAACCAGCACTGAGAAACTCAGTAAGGCCAAGAATGTGGGGTCCCAAAGAGCAAAGTGTATAAGAGGAAACACTGTAAAAGAAGCTGGTATACTGACCTCAAACATCCAGATACCGTTTCCTAATATATCCAGCTTTGTAAGTGCAGCAATGTGATTACATAGAAATGGTAAATATGGCAAACCTGCATTACATATACATTTTTCAGCAGTTTGGTTAAGAGGGCCCCAAAGGTTAAAGGTAGAGCTAGCAAGATACTGTTGAGTCCTAAACTTTGCAAGTTCTGAAATAAAAGCTATAATTCCCCTATCCGAACATGCTTATGACAAGGTAGCCGAAGTAGCGGTATTTATTTTTAAAGAAAAATGAGAGACTTGCAATATAAACCCACTTTTGGGAGGTTGTGGGAACACAGCAGCCTGCACTGCTCTGGAGTTTATATGGGTTGAATCACAATTTCCATTGTCCAGAATTGTAACAACACTGTGTTTTGGAGAAGAGATACACTTTGGATAAAGGGTGAGTTGGAAGGTATGTGTGTGTTGCTAAATGATTCACTCAGGGTCGTGAGAGAAGTCCATGACAGAATAAGAATTCTAAAGCAAGTAAGAAGTATGAAAGTAATTAGGGTTAAGTTTATCTCGCTCGTCCAAAGTTGTCTGCAATATCTCTTCTCCAAATTCCTCCTTGTTGTTACTACGGAGAGAGCGAAGGGCTAAAGAGTTTATCGCAACAGGTACAAGTGCATCGTTTGGCTTTTCAAACATCATTGCTGGCGGAGAAGACAAGACAGTCTTTTGGTTTTCTTCCGGAACCCACGTTCTCTAGGAAACTCAGGCACGGCCCCAACTGGAAAGCGTTCGAAGAAACGCGCCTCGCCTCTAAATGATCAGCGGGGAAGTAAAGTGCTTCTCCACGCCTTCTTCTTCTGGACTCCGTAATCTGTTATTCCAGGAAGTGGCTGGAGGGGGGGGGGAAAGCAAATCAAATATTTATTTTCTCTCCAAAAATGAGCGGCTCATGGGGCGAACAGTTAATCAGATGTCATGAGGATTAAAAAAGAGGGTCGTGCGTGATTCCAGTTAGATGAGGGACCGATCTCCATGGGCGAGTTAATGGTTTTCTGCTAATTTTCTCCCCCCCTTTTTTTTGCCCCACTTGGTTCGCCCCGACAAGCTTTCCTTTCACTGGATATCAAAGTAGGACGTGGTCCTTTTCTCCGCCCTGGAGGTAGAATAAGGAAGGGGGAATAAACTGGTGGGCGAGAGCCGGCTTGCGCGGAACGCTTTGTAGATTGAGAAGCCAGCGAGGCATCCGAGGTAAGAGAAGAGGAAGCAGAGAGGTGGAGGTAGATTGGACTTGCTGAAGGTTTAAAAGAAAAAGCATGAGATGAACGTTCGCCCATGTGCTCAGAGGTCACTAACCCCGCTAGTAAGTTGCCTCCTCAAGGGGTGAGGCAAGCGCGGGACGTGGGTTTTCCTCTGGTGGCGGCATTTACCTATGCGATGCTCTTCTCCCTAGACAACCCTGGAAACCTTTGGGTTATAACTCTCAAATCCTTGCTGGCAGGGGTGAGATCGAATACTCTCTCTCTATATATATATAGATTGTCAGAGGAGGATGGGAGCTGTACTGCAACGCCTGTTGGGGTTGCCAGATTGGGCAGGCTCAGAAGAACCGTCTTTCTTGGAGAAGGAAATAAATTGTTTGCTATACACTAGTTGGGTGCTTGGTGCAGTTTTTCTACTGTTCTTCAAATGGGGAATTTGAGACTTTGGTGTTTCTGTGGGTGGAGAACTCTTGGGGGAAGAGAGACGAAATCTTTCCCCCTTTGGGAGACTTTTTTCTGTTCCTGTCAAAGAAACTTGAATTTGAAGTAGCAAAACCCATTGATATGAACAAATCTGCTCTGAACAAAATGGAGCGCCTCTGAATATTTGCACAGCATCTTCCTGCTTAGCTTTAACAGAGAGACTCCAGTTCTATAAAGCTGCAGATGTGATAAAAAGAAAACTGTTTTTCAGACAGACTCTTGTCCAGGGCTGCAAAACGGGAAACCTCTGTTTAGATTATTAATCAAGCAGCAGATATTAAAAATAAACAAATTTCTTTTTAAACTACAAGAACCTATAAAGAAAATGATAGAAGAAGTACACTATCCTTTTTTCTCCTGTGCATGGGATGAGAATTATTTTTATTTCCATATTTCACCTATTAACTCCATATTTCCATATCTGGGTTTAAGGATTGTGTTAAAAAGCAATTAAATGCAACATAATCCTATAAACAGCATTTAATCATGACAAAATAAAAATGACAGTATTTTAAAAAATAATAGATTAAAAAGAAGAGAAGTAACAGATGTGGTGTCGGTACTGAGAAGACCCAACCTACTCAGCTGCTGTTATAGAAGTTATGATTTAAGTGAAGCCCTGCACATTCTCCATGAAGATCTAACTTCAAAGTCTATCTTTGTTTTTGTAAACCTTGGCCACTCTTGCTCTCTTAGTTATTTGCTATTGAATATAGATCTCAGATGTTTTGGACAAGATAATGAAGAGAACTTGGGCATTGCTTTGATGAAAGGATGGAATTTAAATAAAATAAAATAAATCCTACAGCAATCTAAATATCCTTTTTAGAGATGAGTCCAAAAAATGAGAAAACCAGGAAAATGTAGGGGCCCTTTTCACTTTGCATGGATCATATAATTGTTTCGTCTATGTTGAGGTTGACTGCTGAAGATTCCTGGAGCTTTTCCCAAGAGAATGGCGGTTCTACTAGAGTTCATTTTTATTATATGCAGAAATAGGTAGGTTTTTTAGTGAAGAAATTTATGATGGTGATATTTTACCTTCACTAATTAAACTGTGTTGCTATAACAATTCTAATTTTATCCCTGTCTTTTTGCCCAGAATATTGTTTACACAGTACTGTTGATGCTTGGATTATGAATGAGTGCACATTCCTTATATTTTGATGGCATAATGGTATAGAAGCATTTATTGTCTCCCCGGAAGAAAAAGCAAAAAAATGTTGCCACTGCTATACTTTGCCAAGTGACCTTGTTAGCATTGTTTAACCACAGCATTCTTTGAACTGTAATAAATCATATATGTTTATCATTTATTTGACAGATCTGTATTCTACTTTTCTTCCAGGAACTTAAGGTAGTGTACATTGTGTTCCGTCTTCTGAGTTTTTCCCCACAACAACCACTCTGTGAAGTTGGACTGAGCAAGAATGACCAGGCAAAGTCCATACACAGACACACAGAGGATTTTCATAGTTTGGGAAGCATCTCAAGGGAACAAGGGGACTTAGAACCTAAGCATCTATGGTTTTCTATAATAGCCTCCCCAAATGCCTGCTTCAGATTACATCATTTGTGAGATACCACCAATGGGGGTGAGGCGTTTTTCAGCATAGATGGAGATTTGGTAGTAGATTTCGCATCCTCCTGGCAATTTTTTCCCCATCTACCAACAAAGCAATATTGTATTGACTATAGCAAGAACATTACATCTTAACTTAGCCACAGAATTGGCTGAACTTGCTGTTTCGTTCAGGTGTAACTACTAGCTTGTTATAATCCCTGGGTGTTCTTTTCTCTTGTGAGGATGATCCTAATTTGTTGTGTTGTCTTCTCTCACCTCAGTGCCAGCAGAAATCTCAAGTGACATCCAAACCCAAACAGGCTGTGAGTGCCATGTCTCAGCAGCTACTCTACCGGGCATTGGTGACTGCTAAATGGGTGTCAGAAATTATCAAGTCTCCTCAAACTGGATCATCTGTGAAGCTCTTGGATGCCTCTTGGTATCTCCCCAAAATGAAACGTAATCCCCAGAGAGAGTTTGACGATCGCCATATTCCAGGATCTGCTTTCTTCGACATTGATCATTGCAGTGACCGCACATCACCTTATGATCATATGCTTCCTAGTGCAACAGATTTTGCAGAATACGTGGGCAAACTAGGAGTGAGCAGTGATTGTCATGTTGTGGTGTATGACGCAAGTGACCAGGGCTTGTTCTCAGCTCCCCGGGTCTGGTGGATGTTCCGGGCTTTTGGCCATGAAGCGGTTTCCCTTCTAAATGGTGGGCTGAAGAACTGGATGAAAGAGGGGTATCCAATCAGCTCTGGAAAGAGTCATCCTGCTTCTGCTGAATTTCATGCTTCTCTGGATAAATCAATGGTGAAGACCTATGAGCAGGTGAAGGAGAACATTGAGTCATGCCAGTTCCAGGTAGTGGATGCACGGTCTGCTGGAAGGTACACTGGGACGGAACCAGAACCCCGACAAGGTAATGGTTTCTTTACGTTTGTAGGATAGATGTGGTGGAATGTAGTCTGGATTCCTAGGAGGAAGAGCCTACATTACAGAGGAGCAAGAGACAGTGAAGTTTAGATAGTTTGGATAGTTTGAAGAGGTAAAGGAAAAGACTCAAGACAATTCCTCCCTAGAAGTTCTCAGAGTATATCTTTATTGGTGCAAGCAGTTTGCTTTAGTTTGGCAAGATTTCTGTCTGTGTTTGAGGAATAATAATGGAGATTGTTTTGGAGTAATTCAGTGTGTTTTTTTAGGTTTTGGAGCCTGACAGTAGAGTTGTTGGGCTGCTTTAGCTCTGAGATTAAAACCTCTGATTTTGAAACTTTATGTTAAAAAAGGGAAGTTGCAAATTTTCAGCACTTCAAGATAGAACAGATTAGGAAACCAATGACATGTAGGTTAATACTTTTACTGTCAAGCTATAGTAACAGAATGTTGCAAGTCTGATTATGCTCCCCCCCCTTATCTATGTGTGAACCAGGGAGGGGCTTGTCTGAGATATTCACTCATTTCAGTTCTTGCCCTGATTTTGGGGGGGGGGGGCTTTCATCTGACTGTTAACTTGGTAGCGGCTCTTCCTGCTGTCCTTCAAGACCATTTCCTCTGACCTCTACACAAGTCAAGAAACAAGAGGAGATGCCTATATATCAGTAGTTCCTCCTAATAAGGATGTTGTTGAAAGGAGAAGGTGGGGCATTATTTATTTATTTATGCAGTATATCAAATGGCAGTAATTTATATATTACTATATATAATAAAATATGTAAGGAATTAACAGATTAGGCAGAGATGGGCTGTCATTATTCCTAATATACTAATTGCATTTGATTTTCATCTTTGCTGCATCTTTCACTCTTTGTAGAAGAAAGATGAAGTACAAGATGATAGGACTGCCAAAAATTGTCAAAAGCCTTCCCAGATTGGAGAAGGTACAGCATGGTTCCTGGTTTTTAACAACTTTATTAAGTGTCCTTCCGCAATTGGGGAAGATTTGGATCAAATAAAGTTTTTTTTCCCTGTACACTAGAGAACTAGAAACAGTCATTTTCCATGTTCTCCAGCAGATGGGTGATATCAGTTAACTTCACCTTATATTCTGGCTTACTGGGGCAAATGGGCAGGGGGGAATTCATCCTTTACCATTAGTATAAACCAGTATTTTTCAAATGGACAAGTTTCAGATATGTGGACTTCAACTCCCAGAATTTCCCAGCCATCGTGCCTACTTAGAAACTTAGTGCTATGTACAGGATTTCAAGGTTCACTACATACAGAATGTGTATGTGTGTGTGTGTGTATGCACGTTATTTCTAAATTGTGCTGCTCATTTTGCAATTTTGTTCAATGAACTTTAATAGTATTTTGTTTTTTCAAACTTTCTCCAGGAATCGAACCTGGTCACATCCCTGGCTCTGTGAACATTCCTTTCACAGAATTCCTCACTGAGGCAGGCTTGGAAAAAAGCCCAGAAACTATCCAAAGCTTGTTTCAGGAGAAGAAAGTAGACCTCTCCAAACCTCTTGTGGCCACTTGTGGATCAGGAGTCACCGCTTGCCATGTGGCATTAGGAGCATATCTGTGTGGGAAGCCAGATGTGGCCATTTATGATGGGGCTTGGGTGGAATGGTTCATGCGCGCACAGCCCGAAGACATCATTTCAGAGATGATGGGAAAGAGCCTCTGAAGCATAGCCTTCTGCTGAGACAGAAACATTAGAGAAGGGGATGGCTTTCAAAAATTCTATCTCAAGATATTCTGCCTATTGAATGAAGTGTTTTGATAATGAATTGGGGGATTTGCCATTCTTTTGCTTGTCTCCATTGCCATGGGTATAGATACTACCCATTTTTCATAGCAAAGAAAACACTAATTATGGGAAGATCAAATTAAGAGTTCCAGGTAGAACACAAAAACTCTAGAGATTTGCAACCACAAAAAGAACTTTGCTTTTTAAGGGGATTAATTTTGCAGTGTAACTATGGCAAATTGTGTCATTCTTCTGGCTATTTAGTATTAATTGTTTCTCCACTGAATCCTGTAATTTGGTTTCTTTTCATTTTGTATGGAAATGCCATAGTACAAACATTTTTTAAATCAAAAGCATCTTCGTGTCCTTAAAGATTCATTGCTTTATTTTGTGTTCTCAGCCTGAAGTAGGTCAGATTCTGAAAACTTGTGTCCATGACAGTTTGTGTGGTGAACTGCACCTTGAATTCAGCTGGTTCTAGACTATATCAGATAGAAAATGTATGTTAATCTACCTAGTTCCTTTAGCCATTCTTCATAGGATTTAGCCACTAGACTCCTTATCATCTTTGATATTTTCTGTTGTTGGCCATTTTCCCTCTCATCTCACCCCATAAAAGCTTTAAGCCAGCAGGAACCAGTATGTTAAGGAATATGATGACATATCCTGACATACCCCATCACAAATCAAATTTCTTAACTCCTTTCTCTTTTTTCCAAATCTCCACTCTCTAACAAAAGCACCGTCTCACTCTCTGCAATCCAGCAGCTCCATTAGGTCTTAGTCCAGGCATTAGTCTGATCAAATCCTAAACCAACCTACCCAATAACCTCACCACAGAAATATTGATCTATCAATACTAACTGCTAACTCCAAGCTTTTATTCAGATAGGTCACCTGATAGTGAACCAAATGTAAATAAATTGGAGAGATAAACTGTGTGATGTGGCATTTGCTATGAAGGAAAACTGCAAGTGATCACATACACTGTAATGGGCTCTGAGAATTACCTTAATACATACTGGTAGGAGAAAGACTTCACTCTAGACCAGTGATGGCGAACCTTTTAGAGACTGAGTGCCCAAACTGCAACCCAAAGCCTACTTATGCATCATCGAGTGCCGGGTGGGTGTGGCCCATTGGCTGGGCGTGGCTGCGGTGGTAACGGCAGACTGGGTAGGACTAAAAAGTTCAATCAATCAATTTCAACTTTGCAAGATCTTTTTTTCCCTGCAAGAAGTTGAAATTGACTGATTGATTGAACCTTTTTTTTTTTTTTGCACACGGCAGCGGAGGCCTAAAGCAAAAAGGTTTTATAAAACCCAGCTAAAGGCCTAAAACTGGGGTGACGGCACGCGTGCCCACAGAGAGGGCTTTGAGTGCCGCCTCTGGCACCCGTGCCATAGGTTCACCATCACTGCTCTAGACAATCTGAAAGAGAAATATGAGTCCAAAGCTGGAACCAGCACTGGAGAAAGCGTATCAGAATTGACACCTCCCACCCCCAAGTCTCTGGAACTAAAGGCAGGAGAGGGGGACTTTCAGACTTGCAAGATTCTATTACTTTAACTTTACAATAGGGGTAATTGGTTTTGGTTGTCTGGTCTGCACTTGAAAAGCTGACATATTCTTAGTTAAGCTCCATGTTTTTCAAAGAAGAAATTAAAGCAGTGGTTTACAGTACAAATCCAGGGAATTGATTTTTTTTAAAGAAAGCTATTACATGTGTAGGACATCCCTGGACTGCAGAATTTACTATTTTCCACTTTACTCAAATAGGGCTTAGGAAATTATGACATTCTTGTTTTAGAAATGACCAAATACAGATATCTCTAGAAAGAAAAGAGATACCGAATCTTACAGCATTCTTGGCAAAACAGAATAGTGATGTAATTATGCTATAAATAAGATTTAGCTCTGGATAAGTTTGTCCAGTGGACTATCAAAGATTATTAAAGAATCAATCCACCAATTCCCTAAGTGGCACTCAAGGAGCCTTAAGATTAATTTAAACATTTGGAATATCCTCCAATTCCCAGATCTAGTGAGAATTCACTCACCTTGTAGGATGGTTCAGTGAAAATGTAAAATCGTATAAGTTCTCAGCCATTAAAATGTGTTTAAAAAGCATTTTCAACCTTGGCAACTTTAAGATGGGTGGCCTTCATTTAAGCATGCTGCCTGGGAAAATCTGGGAGTTGAAATCCACTCTGTCTTAAAAGTTGCTAAAAGTCGAGAAACCCTGCTTTAAATTGTTTTTCACTTCCAGCTAAAAAAAGATTGTTGGGTTGTCATCACAAGGAAATTCAGCAAAGAACGCTCCCTGAAGTACCACAACTTAAATACATAGGCAAAACAACCCGCAGCCTTGATTTTTGTGTCCCGCTTAAGTCTGAAATGCGCGCTAGCCTTGAAACAAACTACAAGCCCCAGAATCCTCCAGTGCTCAACACCTGCAAGCCGCGTCCCGCCTATTTGTAGAAAGTAGGAGGGACGCGCCGAGAGAAAGAGATGAGAATGGAACGAGGGGAGGACGCGCCGGCTGCACAGAAGGCTACTTCGTACGCGTGGGATTGCTCGCAACAGCCGCTTCCCCCCAGCAGCCGAGGCAAATGGGTTCGGCTGAATGTCGGGGGCACCGTTTTCTTAACCACCAAGCAGACCTTATGCCGCGAGCAGAAATCCTTCCTCTGCCGCCTGTGCCAGGGAGAAGAGCTGCAGTCAGATCGGGTAAGCGCCCGCGCTTCACCGACCCCTCGAAAGGAGCACTGTTGTTTTGCGAACACGGGAGCATTTTCACTTCGCTTAAATCGCAGGGGCGTGGAGAGCGCCAGCAATGAGGGGGGTTCCCTTTGTTTCGAAAGATCAGAGCCCACTTAGAAATAATCTTGCTAAGGGGTCGAGCTTTCCCCACGATTCACGCACTTTTCGGGTCTTGCCCATAAGCAGGAGTCTTTTTTTTTTTTTTTTTTTTTTCAAAGTCCCATTCACATGTTTGCTTCGTGAACGCAAAGTTGGTCAGGAAGCTCGATTCTCTTTCTCTCCCTTCCCCCCCCCCCGCCCCCGCTCTTTCCTCAGGGGTTTTTGGAGCTTTATATAGGAACGAAAGTTCCCCCCGGTACGCTTCAACTACACAGTGTTTAAAAAGGCAAGTCCGATAGAAGCATCTGTTTTCTGGAGGGGCGTCTGCCTGAGCAGCGAAAACTGTTAAGCAAGGAAACGGTTTTTAAATGCCGACAGGCCAATCGCTCTGCTTTGTTGAAAAATGCGGACGCGGAGAAACTCCAGCTTCTGCTTTTGCACGCGAGTGAGCTGATTAAATTGCTCGACGGAGATAATGTTGTTTATTGCCTCTTATCTCAGAAGCACGCCGATTCCCGCTAAAAGCACCCGACGAAGAATTACGAAAACTCCACTTGTCCACCCAAGGGGCTGGTTCGCCTCAAAGAAATCTTGCCTAGAACTCAAAATAATAACAAATTTAGGGGCATTTCTTCCTCACCGTAACGCCCCTTGTAATCAGTGTGGGTCCTTTGTCAGTGATTCCAAGAGTTTATATCTTGACACTCGATGCAGCTTTTCTAAGGCTAATGTAGTCGTGGGCAGCCGTTCAAAAACTTCATCCGCAGGATGTTTTTTGTTTTTTTTGTTTTGTTTTAAGTGGAGTAAAGCATACAGCTTAGTCAGAGCAAGGGCGGTTGACTTCAGCATTATTCTCCAAGGATACGCATAAAGAATACAGCCTTGAAATAAATGTTATGATAGGATCAAAAAGTTGCTGACTTTGGAGAACATGTTAGGCTAAAAAGTGTTTTGTAGTTGGATGGCTGTATTTACACACAACTAGGTTAGGCTAAGATGTGCTTTAGCATATTGAAGGAATCCGGCCATTGTGATATCTTGTGAACCAGATTATCAACTAAAGCCATAATAAGGATAGTTCATATAGATGCAGCATGTTATGAGAACTCAGCAGATACCTTTTATTAACCCTGATTTACACTTCCAACTCATTGGTTGAATCAAGTAGTGTATGATAACTGAACAGAATTTATATAAAATTTAGTTTGTTGGGTGAACTTAGCCAATTTTATTAATTCATATCACATTTTAATCTGTTTTGTGAATATTGTATAGTCTTCATGACGGCATTATTTCAAATTGGCCAATATTATTTGGAGGAAGTACACAGTTGTGCCTGCGCATGCATGTACAAACACCCTGCCAAATCCCTCTCTTCCTATTTTTCTTGGCAGTTTTGCTTTTCTTCCCTCTGATCCTGCAGATACATGCAATTGATTCTGACTTTCTTTGTTTTGCAAACTTAGCCATTGTGTTATGTAAATAATAGTTATGGCATAACACAAGGCATGAATGAAATTCAGTATATTGATATAATGCATTTATCATTTAACTAAGAAATATTTAAACATGTCACAGTTTAAATATATTTATTAACTGTTTGCCCTGAATCTCCTGCTATTCAACTACTTTTAATGACTTAGGGTTCCCATAAATATGACAGAGACAAAAACGTCTTTTGCTGAGTGTGCATAGTTTTATACAGACTTCCTTTTTTTGTCCATTATTCCCATCAAAACAAAAAAAACAAAAAAAACCGCCTCCGAAAGATGCTTTCTCTTTGGAGAGTTGTTCCAGATTGATTTTTTTTTAAAAGCAGTTTTGAGATACAACAATTTTTGAGACATAGCAGTCATAGATGAACAGTGTATCTGTGTAACAAATTTAATATTGGCATTACAATTTGTTTTATTTTTTTCCTAATAGATACTATGCTGGGATGTGTCTCTTGTGGGTTAAGGCACCAGGCTAGAAATCAGGAGACCGAGACCGAGTTTTCCCGGCCTTAGGCATGAAAGAAATCTGGCTGGGTGGCCTTGGGCCAGTCACTCTCTCTCAGCCCAACTAATCTCACCAGGTGGTGGTTGGGGAGAAAATAGAAGCAGGAAGGAGAATTGTAGGTGTTCTTCACCTTGAGTTATTTATGAAAAATGATAAAGGCAAGATATAAATAATAAATACCTTCACATGTAGTATTATCAAGGTCTGTTTCTGATCAGTCATTGACTGATGGTATGTGTGAATCTCTATTTCTCTCTGTGTGTGTATAAAATGTTTCAAAAAGTTTTGCCCTATTTTGAATCATTTTATATATAAACTTGTTAACTCCCTTCAACCTTTTTGGGAAGAATCCTTGAACTCGTTTTCTTCTCTTAGTAATGAGGGGTCAGCAAAACTGGTTACCGTACTGCTGATTTCTAAATGATTCTCAATGGTTTAACTTCAAAGCTCACATAAGAAGCACGTGTCCCAACTGGTATTTATATCCCTTTATTGTGAAAGCTAGCCGCTAATTCTTTCTGTCTACTCTGTTTTTAAGCAGTTAATGATCCATAATAATGTTTAATTTGTTATCTCTGAAAACTAAATTTATTCAGAGGTTTGGGTAAGGAATTATATTCAAAAATCTTTGGAAAATCTAAGTAAACAAAGAACTCAGAAAAGTTAGTTAAACATGGCTTGTTTTCTTCTTTGCTTTTGGTTTAGGATGAGACAGGCGCATATCTCATAGATCGAGACCCAACTTATTTTGGACCTATTCTTAATTTTCTCCGGCATGGAAAACTGGTACTGGATAAAGATATGGCTGAGGAAGGTAAGTCTATAGATCTTATGTTCCAGAACCCAGCTATATAAATGCCAGTACAGGTAATCCTTGATTTAGAAGCATCCATTTGCTGACCATTCAAAGTTACAACAGCACCGAAAAAAGTGAATTATGACTGTTTTCCACCTTTACGACCATTGCAGCATCCCCAAGGGTACGTGATAAAAATTTGGGTGCTTGGCAACTGGCATATACTTATGACCATTGCCTTATCTTGGGGTCACGTGATCATCATTGGTTATCTTCCCAGCCGGCTTCTGACAAGCAAAGTCAATGGGAGAAGCCAGAATCACTTAACAACCACATGATCCACTTAACAGCTGCAGTGATTTGCTTAATTATGGCAAAAAAAGTCATAAAGTGGGGCAAAACTCAACAACTGTCTCACTTAGCAATGAAATTTTGGGTTCAATTATGGTTGTAAGTTGAGGACTAGCTGAATTGTTTATGGTGGGCAAGTTGATCACATGACCCCAAGACACTGCAACTGTCACAAACATGCCAGTTGCCAAGCATTTGAATTTTGATCACAGGACCATGTAGATCAGTGGTGGCGAACCTATGGCACGCGTGCCAGAGATGGCACTCGGAGCCCTCTCTGTGGGCACACGTGCCGTTGCCCCAGCCTCGCCTCCCCCACGACCCCCTCCTCACCAGCAGCCCACCTGGAAGAGAGTTGCCCCCAAACGTGGCCCACACGGAGCAGGGCAGCCAAAGACATGGCAGCCAGGCAGTGTAGACAAGACTCTGCCCTCATACCCCATCCTGCACAGTTGATGCTGCGGCTTGCGGGCAGAGGGCGTGGCCGCCATGGCACTGCTGGGCTGCCTGGGCAATCTGCGGTGGGCCCTGGAGGCGGTGAGTGGCCCTGCGGGCAGGTGGGGTGGGGGACCGGGTGGGGGTGGGGCAGGTGTGGAGCAGGGGCGGGGCCAGTTTTTAGGCACTCGGACTCTAAAAGGTTCGCCATCACTGATGTAGATGTTGCAAAAGTCATAAGTGTGAAAAATTGTCATAAACTGTCATAAGTCATTTTTTTCAGTGCTGTTGTAATTTCAAACAATCACTAAAGGAACGGTTGTAAATTGAGGACTACTTGTACTACATTTTCCTTAAAAAAGTTAAATCAGTAGAACATACAAGCATGCTACCTTAAATGTACAGCTATCATCTGGGTTTGACACTCTTTTGCTGCTAAGAACCAGTTTGATGTAGGGATTAAGGCACCAGGCTAGAAATCAGGAGACTGTGAGTTTAGGCATGAAGCAGTTGACTGACCTTGGCTAGCTGTTTACTTTCAGACTGAGGAAGAGGGAAGTAGCATGTCACTTCTGAAAAATGCTGCAGGGGGTAGTTGCTAGGAGACAATACTGACTCGAAGGCACATTTTTGCCTCCCATCACTGCTGTGCCATGCCAACCAGCTGACTAGCTGCCTTCTTACCTTTAGCCTCATCTTCTTGTTGCTTGCACCCAAGGTGGATGCCCTGCCCTTCCCCCCCTTTGCTACACTACTGGACGTTAAGCTAGCAGCTGAACTGGGGAGAGGAAAGGAGAGGCAGGCCAGGCTAGTTTCTTACAAAATAAATGGGTGGAATAATAGTTGCATACTTAATCTGGGCCAGAGATTGACGTCTTTTTATAATGACATTAGCAATTGCTACTACCCCATTTGGGGATGCCCACATGGATATTGTCCTCACCCACCACAACCATGCTGAGTGGGGTTGGGACTCTAAACTTGAAAATAATATTAAAGAGCAGTTGTATTTATTTACTACCATACTGTGTTCCTTGCTTTGCTTTGGCTCTACTGTCTATTTTTAATTGCCTGCATTCCCTTAGTACACTTCTGCGTTGGAAAAATAAGAAACGAGCCAAATAGTGCATCACAAGGGTGATGGTTTGTACCCTTGTAAATACACTGATGCTTGGTATTCTAAATATTTAGTTTTCGACTACGTAAGAAGCAGTATTTTTCCTTCCAAAAAGTTACCGTTCTGTTGAATGCTATTTATTACTCTGTATTCAAAAATCCTAACAATTAGCTGCCAATGACATATTTTGGTGGCACTCTTGCTTTGGATAACAATCAGTTAAATAAACACTAGACCAAGCCATCCAAATAGATACAAGCTATAATTTCCAGTGGTCAAGGAAGAGTATAAATGCCTAAGTAGCAGTAAGAGATAGAAGACAGTGGGAAGGAAGTACTGTAGGAAGTCTGCTGTTGAAAGCTCCATCTTAGGTTGTTTTTATGTTTTTATTTTGCTTTTCGTATTTCATTCTCTTGTGTCTTTTCTAATTTTTAGCATCAGCTTGAAGAATGTAAAATAATTATATGCTTATAATGTTTTTTTCCAATTTTTTAAAAAAGAAGCTGATGAACTAATTCATAGCATTATGCCATTTCAGTTTCTCTGTTCTGACAGTTTCCTTTCCTTGTGGGAGTAGTTGGCAATGGTGAGAGCACTTGTCTGAATTATTCAAAGCACAATTTTCTTATAGCACAAAAAAAGAATAAGAATAGGGAGAAGAACTTACTGAGTTCAGATAACAGTACATGAGATTAAAGATGCAGTGTGTGTTATAAGAATTCAGTTACATGTTATGGGAACTCATGTCTGGTTTATTTGGGGACATGTTATGTGCAAACAAAAATCATGTCTCAGTAATCTAAGTTTAGAATTTAGCATGTTACAAGAAGCCAACTGATCAGTCTTGAATAATCTGAAATTACAATATTTTATTCTGTTTCTATTTTGGTTCTGGTTTTGGATACTACTCTAGTTTACATGGGAGGGGAAGGAAAAGAAAGGAACAACAACATCATTGTAATGATGGCAGTAATTCTCTGTGGCGATTGAAAAAGAAACTGCTTCCTCATTTCCCTCCCCACAACTTTCAGACTCAGAATGGCTGTATTTTTTGCTTTGTTTATTAATATATTCACCTAGTTTGCTGAGGAAAGAAAGAGAGGACCAGGTATCAGGTCCAAATAGATTACTCTGGCGAATAACAAAATGCTAGTTCCTAAGTGTAACTCTGGTTCCTCAGTGGGTTCATTAAGTGCCTAGATTCCCCCATGCCTGCTGCTGAAATGCATCACGTGTGTCTCTCTAGGGAAAGAGACGTGGGGATGCAAATGATGACAGATGAACAAAATGGAAGACAACATTTTATTTGCTTATGTAGCAGTAATTTCATGCCAGGTTCCCTTAGGCTAGTATTTCTCAACCTCAGAAACTTTAAAATATACTTCCAGAATTCTCCAGCCATCAGTTGCAACCTGGTCTCTGATATTTTGGGCTAGAAATCCCTAATTCCTTAATATTGCTCCTCTGTCTGACTGATAATTCTGGTTAGTGGATATTGATATCCACTGTGATAAAAATAACAAGAGCAGAATAGATCCAATGTCTTAAATTGGCCATCATTGGATTAGAGCTAGATAGTGGATATGTCTGAAGATTAAATTTTAAATATTTTTTCATGAATCAAATAACCATATGCTTGGTGATATAATCTGGTTAGTTAGTTAAGGCTAACTAGAGCATGTGGGTTGAATCCAAGCAGTGATTCATCCTTGAAAGAGGGTGGTCCAACCCATGCTTAAGAAGACATCCCCCCCCCTCAAGAAGTCATGCTGGATCTGACTTTGTTAGATAATTTCTGGACTGCTTCCTTTTTAGGGAAAGTTGCTGAGAAAGTAGTCAGATTGCAGTTTCAAAGGTCTCTAGGTGGATCTCTGGATCTCTCCCAGTAAGATTTCAAACCTGGATACAGTGTAGAGATGGTATCAATTTCATTTTTTGATGTGTGGCAGGACTAGTATAGAGGTGGTATTTCTACTGGTTTCCTTGGTAGTATTGATACCATTGATTATTATATCCTTTTGGACTGACTTAAGTGTTGGAAGTTCTGGAGTTGTAGTCAATCTTTTGATACTGTGGACCATGGTATCATGCTGCGGCGTCTCGGTGAGTTAGGAGTGGGAGGCACTGTTATGCAGTGGTTCTCCTCCTTCCTCGCCGACCGTACGCAGTCGGTATTGGCAGGGGGACAGAGGTCGACTCCTAGGCCCCTAACTTGTGGGGTGCCTCAGGGGTCGGTCCTCTCGCCCCTATTGTTCAATAT